AGGGGACCTTTAACTAAAATAGGATTAAATATGCTTTTGACACACCAAAAATAAGCCTGTCTCTTGTATAAGCCTGTTTCAAATGAGGGCCCTGTTGCCTCTGCAGTTTAGATAAACAAAGGCGCTGCTGCTATTTCCGAATGTACTCCAAAGTAGTAGTCATTTGCTCCATTTCATCCAGCTATAACATATAAGTAATGACAAGCCGTATAATATAAGGCTTATCACAAAATAGTGATGGGAAAGAGGACGTTTTTGTCACGTTTGTTGTTCTTTTACTGTTAAATGCAGGACATTTGCCTTTTTTTAAACTGAGGTATTAAAACAAGAAGCTGAATACTTCTACCTGTTTTCTTACTTTCTCACTCCCTTTCTGTCATTTCTCATCAACACTAAACATCATGAACATCAGCAGCAACTGTCTCCTGCCTCTGAATGTCTCCGGTATAAGTCTGTATTTTGTGTCTCCGGGTAACCAATGATGGGATGCAGCAAAGAAGAAAAAGCTTGATTCAATTGTATCTACCTGATAAGCATTCAAAGTTGTGCCGTTATCTTTGCAATAAACACTTCCATCCCGCAGCTTCCTTGTCACTGCTGATATCAGGTAAACAGCCTGAGTTGCTGCGTCACTGAGGTGCATCACAGCTGCGTGCACTTATACCAACCCGGCTCAGAACGAGTTCCAGTGAATAGGAATACATCTGTTTGCTGCTGTCCTTGAGCCTGTGAGAGGTTGTCTCTAAAGACTGTGCTCTTGCTGTGTGCTGGGGGATGTAGAGTGGGCGAGAGTCAATAGCAGTGTTACTCCCTCCTCGCCCACTCTCAGAGCACTCTCTCTCTCTCTCTCTCTCTCTCTCTCTCTCTCTCTCTCGCTCTCTCTCTCTCTCCATGTCTTTCTGTATTAAGAGACACACTTCAGACACGCTGGGAAAGCAGTTTTTACAGGCTTCAAATTAATTTTCAAGGTCAGACAACAAAGGAGCACTTTTGTGTTTGTGTGTACTGCGGGCTATGTGGTTTCCTTCACTTCTCTCTTTATTAAGCGAGTGGAAAGGTAGAACCTGGATTTTACAGGCAGTGAAAAATTACTCTCCTGCATCGCCACGTTTCGACTGCTCTGAATCCCATTAATTGCTGTTGGTGAATAATGTAGCTGAACGGTGACTCTGTTCTGGAAAAAATATTTAAATTGCACTATTAAACAGGGTCAGTTGCTGCATGAGTCCCGGTTTAACACTTCTTTCAATCACAAATAATGCAGATTTTTTTTTCTAACATGCTTTCCAGGCAGGTTAGTGGCTATTGCAGACACATCTAAAGCTTACTGTGATTGTAATGCTCTGAGGTGGACTATTAAGTACATTTAAAATCAAACTGAATATTGAAGATTCCTGTAATTGTTTGATAAAGCCATGCTTTAATTTATCTCTTTATCTGATATTTTTACACTTATATATACAAATATCAGTCTGCCTGTCACTTACACACAACAAGATGGCAGTAGGGTGGTCATTGTTGCCTTTTTGAAATTTCTTCAGCTTGAGAATTTGCGTTTCTAAAGTTGTTGTCATCTCCTGACAAACCACAACTTTAAAAAGGAAGACAAGTTAGGAAGGCAGTTATTCAGCATGCAGGTTGCTGTCCTGTGTGTTCAAGGTTTCTCACACTCATAACTTTGTATTTGGCTGCTTTAACCTTTAGAACACGACTGGTGCACTTTGCATCCAAATTCACACCCCTTTTTCTTGGCTGAATTTCATACCAAAGTATTTATGAGGAAAGATCAAACTTCTGCAAAGTAATATCTCTACTTTTTTAAAATTTTTATTATTTTTACCCATTTTCACCCTCTTGCTACTAACTCATGAAGTCCCTGTTGTTTCACAGTGTGCCAAGTATAAAATAAACAGCAGAACCTTCTCTGCACATCAAAGGTGTAATCTGCTTTTGAATTTTACAGCTATTTTCGGCGTTATCCATCCATTATCTATACACCGCTTAATCCTCATTAGGGTCGTGGGGGGGCTGGAGTCTATCCCAGCTGACTTAGGGTGAAGGCAGGGGACACCCTGGACAGGTCACCAGTCTATCACAGGGCTACACTTAGAGACAGACAACCAAGCACACTCACATTCACACCTACGGACAATTTAGAATCACCAATTAACCTCAACATGTTTTTGGACTGTGTGGGAGGAAGCCGGAGAACCTGGAGAGAACCCACGCTGCACGGGGAGAACATGAAAACTCCACACAGAAAGATTCCGGTGCCCCCACCGGGACGCGAACCGGCAACCTTCTTGGTGCGAGGCAACAGTGCTACCAACTGCTAACCTTGCAGTATTTTTGGCGTTATGTCTAACATATTGATGACATTATATTACACTTAATATAAAACAAACAATAAATAACTGATTAGATTTAATTGCAATCATTTAAAAGTTGTGGTCTGCAGATGAGGAAAACACCAGGCAAAGATTTTCTTCTTCTGATGATGCACCGCTGCAGTAGGCTAGTGTTTGTGAATGTAGTGAATAACACTAACAAGTTATTTCCATTAGGCACTTTGCACATTTTTTCCCCCCAATTTCTGGGTCATAGAGTATCACATCATCATGGTTCTGATATTTCCAGGTTCCATACAATCTACCCTTCACAGTTCTGAAAAGATACCTCTACTGCCAACACTTTATGGTGAGATACTGATGAAAAAGTATCTTTTTAAAAAATGATCAGGAATCTGACTGACAAAAAGTTGCAGTTGGCCCTGTGAAGTTCAGCCTGCTGTTTTTACATGTTCATAACAAAGTAACTGGGAGATGTTGGGAAAAAGTCAATAAAAAATGCATGAAGTATTTGAAATGATGGCCTCACTGGGCTGAACAGTCAGTCAGACAGCTTTCTCTTTTTGACTCCCTCCAACCTCACCTAAACTTATCATGGCTGAGTACCAAAGAGAATGTTAAAACAGAGGATTATTTCACTGCTATGCACAAAAATGTAGTGTAGCTGTTGGTGCAGGAAAAATATGGTATCAACCAAAGTTTAGTGGGTTTTTTTGCTTGTTTTCTTTTTTTTCTATTGAAGTAAACATCTGTTATTTTGGAGCAGTCTCAATTTAATGCTTGCACTACTGCCAAATTTTTCTCTTTCCATAATTTTCTACAGATTTATTGGTAAAGTAAAGAACTCACTGTTTCACAACATCAAAATGGCTCATTGTACTCACTTCCATCTTAAACAGCAATCTGGTGCTGAGTCAGGACGACACATCAAATCACTGCCATGATTTAGAGGAGGTGAAAGCAGGGAGGATATTAGTTTTCTCGTTGAAGCCTTTATTTGCTTCACTGTGATAAGTTTAATGACAGAATGCTCAACAATAAACATGATTTGTAATGCACTTGGTGCATGGAGCTGATCTTTATTTCCTCCAGGACTAAACTGATACAGGCGATCTATCTCCGTTCAGGGAGATCATCGGAGAGATGCATTTACAGAAGCTGATGGTCATGTCGCGGTGTCCATATTGTTTTACCAAACTGAGTCAGGACATTAAAGCTGGGAACAAGCCTCAGCTTTGCAGGGAGATTGATGAGAAAACGATGATGCCTTAACCCCTTAACCTCATCAACCCTCTGAACTTCCAAGCAGTTTTTGTACATTTTTGATCCTGTTATATTTTTAGTCACTGTGGGCTCATTTTTCGCTTCAATGTAAAGTTCTTCACCTCTATGGAAACAGTACAACCATGGCTGGTGTAGAGGGAATTCTGAAATGTCTTGTGTTCAGTATGGTACAGCTACAATATCATAAATCTTTTTTAAAAAGAAAAAGGAAAAACAAAAGTTGAAATTCTTCTTTTTCAACCTAACTGTAAAACCTGGCATAACATGTACAACATTTTATCAAGTGCCCACAAATGTTACTGATAAAGGGGTAAAAGTGATAAAGGTGATTCTACATACTATAGATAATTTACTACTAACATTTTTACTTTGTTTACATGCCTGTCTGCTCTGCGTATACACAACCAGCAGTTCAGCTCAGTTCAGCTGAAAAGTCCCTGATTTATTGTCATGTGACTACTGGTTGTAGTCAAGGGATTAATGGCTACATGGTTGTGATGGGGAGCTTAGACCTTTTTTGTTTTTTACAGAATCTAGTTAGAGCACATCATTTGTTTTTGGTGTATTTTAAATGAGACAAGTGTAATACAGTTAGTTTTTAGAAAATATCACAATTTTTTAATTACATTTTTCAATAAAACCATAAGTCACATATGATAAGGTTAAAGACGGTCAGAAAGTTGAAAATCTGGTGATTACTATGTTTTTTTTACAGTTTCTGACTCTGATGAATGGTGCACTTCTGGGGGATTTAAAAAAAAAAGAAAAGCATTTCATACTTGCTGGCAAGCTTTGGAGTTCAGAAGGTTAACAAAGTGCAAGTTGATTTGTTGTCACCAGGACATGTGCCAAAACTGTCTTGTAATGCACTGGTGTGTTTTGTTTTAAAAAGTGAGTCATTAAGGATAACCTGTAATATCCTTGAGGTCACGCATTCACGTTCACACGGTCGTGACCCGAGGGTATCAAATATGATGCTGATAATTTGATCAAAAATGACACATGTACAAATTCAGATGCTGTATGAAATGTTCTCCATGTCACGTAAATGATGACATGACACCCTGAACTCTTGTACAACCATGATTAGATCTGACACAAAGCCCTGAGGTTATTGTGTGCGGGTGTGTATGCGTGGCCGTCAGCTCCTGTTACTGTCAATCATATGACATGTGCCTTTTCAAGCTCATTTTAGATTCATGTGCCATTATCCTCCCTCTCACCCATCTTCTCTTCACTTCAATCATTCTGTCTATGCCTTCCCTAACATAAGCTGTCCACGTGTTGGTTTTATTTTTGAAAAATGGTTCACAAGCCACTAAAACACTAAAATCGATGTGTTTTTTTTGTTTTTGTTTTTTTTTGTACCTTGTCCTCCAGAGGTCTTGTTGTTGCCAGCGGCTGCTCCAGATCCTTGTCTCTGCAATGCAAAAACAACAAAACAGAGGAGTTAGGATGTTTTCTTCAAAATAAAATCCTCAGCACGGCAACAGATGACTTTCCTCAGTCCTGTCATCCAAAGGAGTCACCAAAAGAGTTGACTGCGTGCCACTGCTCTGTGTCCTTCAGTAATTAAGCCTTGTCCTTATGATCACTCTGACATCTAATGGAGATAGCACGCACTCTAAAGCCTCCACTCTGGAGGATTTCAGCCGGCAGGGTCCTTTTTCTGACCACAGTGGCGGAGCAGAGGAAGCCCTGCAGTCTGAGCCTTCCTGTGAAAGTAAAAAGGCCTAAACACAACGTACAGTATGACCAGAAGGGTCGCAGCACCCGAGGTGTTGTTCTTTACTGTGACTTGGTGCTGTGACACTACAGAGGTCACAAGGGAACTGACATGAATCAGAACAAATGACCTAGTTTCCACTTTGCTGTATGTTTTTTTATGCTTCATTTCACAGGAAAGAAAGGGTAAAATCCAAAACCAGAGCTACGCAAGCTGCATCATGTATCATCACGTGTGTTTTCATAAATAATGCTTTACGAGTGTTTTTGTTTTGCTTTGTTTTTGTTACTCAGCTTGGCAACCAATTTGCCAAGCAATGATGTGAGGGTTCCTTATACCATCCACACTGCTGGATGAACATCTTAACTTCAGCTTTGAATAAGAGTGTAAAATTCTACCAAATGAACAAAACTGGAAATAACCTGTCAACAGTTAACCAAGTGCTACCAGGCTTTACCAACTGGAAAACACTGGTGACTTTACAAGATATTATATTTCTAATTTGTTTCCATATTTGTCTCCTATCTGCACGGTGTAAACACAGCCTGCAGTTCAGCCCAGTTCAGCTGGAAAGTCGCTAAATTTCTGTCATGCAATACTTGGTTGTAGCTGACTCATTAATAGCTTTTTGGATGTGCCACGGTGCACAGAATCTCTCTTCACAGAACCCAATTAGAGCAAACACTATATTTTTGACATGAAAACATATACATATATATATATATATACGTGTGTGTGTGTGTGTGTGTGTGTGTGTGTGTGTGTGTGTGTGTGTGTGTGTGGAATAAAGAACAATGAATCATGAAAAATAAAGTCATTTTGATACAACATCACATTTTCAGGCTTTGATTTGGTTACATTCTTCTGATAGAACAGCTTGTCACAGCTGAGTAGCTCAAGGGTCGTTGGAGAATTGAAAATCCAAAGATTCTTTCTGTTTTTGAATTTTTTGAATCTAATAAATGGTTCAAGTTTTGACACCTAACAGGGTAATAAAATCCAATATTTTTACACTGTATTTCTTTAACATTTATATGACAATAGACTACCATTCTGCATTACTAAAAGTATATATAATGCATTTATATAAGTTTAATAGTCTCCATGTGTGAAGAGATGAATCCAAAAATAGGGTGTTTCATACTGATTATACAATGCTGGTTCTTCTTGGTCATATGATAATAATTACACTTGCATTCTCATTTAAATTCACTCCACACCACAAGATACAGAGGTGTTAAAATGGACTGATGGATGTAAACAAGAAAACCACAGGCTGTACAAAAGAATCAAACATGTTGTCTTCAACAGCCTGAAGGACACTGTCAGGTACATGTACGTGTCCTCTCTTGCTTAACAAATGACTTTTCAGATGTGATGTTGCGTAACTGTACATAGCCACACGTAGCTGATATAATCATTGTATCCTTACATACTGCTAGCAGCAACGTTTCTCTAAATGCCATCTTTCATTACCCTACAGCCATTTATTTGTATTGCCTCTGTGTACACACCCGCTTTCCTTTTATTAGATTGCAAATAGCCACAGATCTCCAGAGAAATAACACAGAGACTGGCTGTGATAATATATGTGTTCCCCATTTCTTCTAATATGACATGTAATTTTGTCAATTTGTACTTAAAATGAGAGTAAACACGAGGGAGTTTGAAAAGTTTCACCTGATAATGAGATAGCCACTGCCTGACTATGAATTTATGGTGAGAATTCCTTTCGTACCTCCGCTAAGACATACATTTCAAAGTTCAGTTAAAAAGAAAATGCTACATAGCACTTTAAAATAAAATCCCTGTATTTGTATGCTCAGGTCTTTTGGGTTGAGTCAGATACGAGCAGCATTAGAGGTGTGAAAAGGGTAAAGCAGATATTGCATTAGAGAAGAGTACAGGAGTGACACTCCATCACAGTGAGCAGATTAGGAAAAGCTATTCTTAGAACCATATTATAGTCCTGCTTTTAATATGCAGTGGAGAAAGAAAGAGAAGGGATATCAGAGGGAATGATAAAGGAACCTGAGGAAGCATGGCGAGTAAAAGGAGCGAGGATGGATTGAGGGAAGGAAGTAAGGAGGAAGTGTTGTGGTGAGGAGTTCCTTCACAAGCTTCTCATTAATCACACATGGTGCTGGAGGAGTTTTCCTGAAAAGGTGCAGGTTTCTACTGTAGTACTCTTCAGTTTACTTATGCTTGTATACAGAAACCATTACATGGCTTACTTAGGAACACAACTATTCAGTGTTTTTACACATACTGCAGTTGATATGATGACAAACGAACATATTTTATCTGTAATTTAGACCCCCGAAATCCTGTTTTCTCTCTCTCTCTCTCTCTCTCTCTAAAGGAACCATTTAGGGCAAAGAAATTGGTGACAAGTCAATATGTATGTCAATCATTTTAGATTCATTAGGTTTAGAAACTTAAGTCCCCCTGCTGCCTTTAAAATGTGAGCTAATTTCACTCTGCTTAATTAGATTGAACTGATTTTGTGATTTGTGAGCTGTTAAATTCACGGAACTTAAGACAACAAGTTCAGTGAACTTAAGATATTAAGTTGACTCAATTTGTCACAAAAGCAATGGTTTAAGACAGACGTGTCATAAAGAGTTTCTTCTTTATTTAACATTGAGAATTGTTCAAACCCATTTTGAAACTAGAAAAGTAATGTAGCAAAACAGAACCGATGAGATGATTTGACTAAATTTCCTTTATGGTGTTTTACAGTGTAGACTTAAGGTTTACCAGCTAATCTTACTCTGTCCACAGGAAACATCCTCCAACATTTAGCACCTCTAAAGCTCACAGATCATTTTTGTTTCAACAAGTCAAAACAATCTGACTGTACTTTTACTTGTTTAAAGAAAAGCCCATTTTTAGCCCTCAATTACTGACAAGAAAAGCGTTCACCACAGTGTTCAGATTAATGCAGCTAGAAACCTGATAGCATCAAATGATCCTCTTGTTTGCTGCTCCTCCATATCAGCCCATGCTAATTAATTCAGTATTAGTTATCCCTGTCCCTAGGCCTGTGTTTGGGACCGCCTTGGTGGCCCATTTATCTTCACAGCCACAACCAACGTGGAGAGAAAGAGTGCAAAAACTCTAAACTCCAACACTCCGTCACTGCCACAAAAACATTCAGTACGTACATAAATTTTACAAAGTAGACACCCTGGAGGAAATGCTTCTCTACAGAAACTCCCCAAAACTGTCCAAACACTAGAGTAAGTTGAAATTGATGTTGCTAATAACAATTTTTCGCAATGTGTTTTCTGTCTGGAAACACACACAATAGTCAGAGGCTTCCGAGTCCCTGTGCAATCAGTGTGAGTCAGTTTAAGCTTTGACCACGTTTGTGCAGGGAAAAATATCTCTCCTATGAAATTATTGCAGGAATTACAGTGCCACCTTATCATCAACTTGCACGATTTATTACCAGCCGGCATACCATTTCTCAGCTTGTGTTTTCATATGCGCAGCCGGAGTGGGAGCTGCGATGATTTTTCTCTCTGTAGTGAAGAGGAGGGGGATGAAGTGAGGAGAGCAGGATCAATACCTCCCTCTGCAGTTAAGATGTACTATACAAACATTGGCACAGGGAAGATAAATGACCAGAATCAACTCTCTGACTGCCTCCTCTGGTCTGCAGGAAAAAAAAAAAAAAAGAAAGAAAAAAAAAAAGTAAATGGGGTAGAGAGGGAGAGTTAGACTTTCAGTCTTTGGAGTTAAATGTGTTTCTGGAGCCCTGTGGTAGTGACCAGAAGCTAAATTATCCAACCTTGAAATGCTTCTCAACTTTAAGGGAATAGTTCGACATTTTGAGAAATGTTCTTATTCGCTTTCTTGCCAGGAGAAATATCGATACCTCGATGCTTCACATTTAACAAGCGGACATGTCTGCGGCAGCCTGCAGCTAGCATGGCTTTGGTTACCTGCATAAGCACAGAGGTCCAGGTCTGCTGTTGTTGGGCTCATATTAGTGTATAGTAGGACAGAAATACAGAAAAAAGAACAATTTTTTTGCTGTCTGTGCAGCCTGTGTTGCTCCACCACAAGCATTCACTGAAACAAATTAGCTGGAAATTCATTGGAAATGGATGCACTGACCATGTGTATGAAAGTGTCTGTTTGTGGTATTGTAGCAGGAGGTCACAACTGTACCGGTGCATGTGTACTGCAGGTGATTCTTTGCTTTACCTTTAAACATAATCAAGTTACAAGTTATGTTAAAACTTCCTCCGAAAATATATTCTACTACATGGCTTAATTGCATCTTCAATTCTGATTTAAAAGAAACACATCTTCTCCTTCTCATTCTCAAAGAATCACAAAAGTCCAAATTTAGAATTTGGCAGTATGCTACAAAGATACACTCATTCACAACATGCTTGAAGCTTCTCTTCCATTTTCTGGGTGACGAGTCTCACCCCATTTACTGTATGAATGGTCAACTGAAAAGAAGCAAAATAATAAATGGCAAAGATATGTCAACAAGAAACATATTTCTGTTAGAAGAGAAGAGAAGAGAAGAGAAGAGAAGAGAAGAGAAGAGAAGAGAAGAGAAGAGAAGAGTTCTTATTGTCTCTGTGGAAGCAATGCTAAAAAGACAGTGTTACAGCAACTGTTGTGTCATAAATGTAATCGGGGAGAAAATATTTTTGCTTATTATTTAGCTG